CGGATGATATCACAGACAAGCATTGTGAGGAGGAACGCAGAGCACATGCATTGTGCAGGAGGAACGCAGAGCCTGTCTGGGTGATGAGCGAATATGGTTGCAATGCAGGCAGATCGTGGCTGGTGGGAGGGGTTGGCGTACAAGCAGTGGGAGGAGTTATGCAAATATCAAAATGCCCTGATGGGTGGACGTCCATCTTTTCATAAATTATTTTTTTATTCAATTGTAATTGGCCTCCGAACTTGCTACAAAATGTGACTACACCAGGAAGTCAATTCCTCAGGACAGCTCCCTCTCTCCTTTTACATCATAGCCCGCTCCTCTCCTGGGAGTGTCTGATTACTCCCTGTGCTGGCCCAGCTCCTCCTCTCCTGGGAGTGTCTGATTACTCCCTGTGCTGGCCCAGCTCCTCCTCTCCTGGAAGTGTCTAATTACTCTCTGTGCTGGCCCAGCTCCTCCACCCTTCCCCTCTCCTGGAAATGTCTGATTACTCTCTGTGCTGGCCCAGCTCCTCCCATTTATGTAGCTGCAGGGGGAGGGTTAAATGGGAATACTCTAGATTTGAGTCTGCCGGAGCTGCTCGCGTGACATCCAAGATGGCGGCGCCCAGCATAAGTTTCGGGGCTTTTATGGGTCATCAACATACATAAAATCTGGTCACATGATCTGATGTCATTTTAATGAATGGCCTGGTGACCGGGTGTCAGAAGCCTCTGATGGAAGCGGCCATTCACAATGTGCACACTCCGTAACATAGAACAAAGGATGAAGCAGGGAGTGCAGGGGAAGGTGCGGGATCTGATGACATCATGGTCACATGACTCCCTATGGACCTCATGGTCGCATGTCTCACTATGGACCTCTTGGTCACATGCCTCCCTATGGACCTCATGGTCGCATGACTCCCTATGGACCTCATGGTCGCATGACTCCCTATGGACCTCTTGGTCACATGACTCCCTATGGACCTCTTGGTCACATGACTCCCTATGCCCCTCACCTGTAATCTGTATGTATTGCAGCACCAGCTCTACGTGTCTTCAGATGCCGGGGTGACCCAGATCTCCCTCCACCGCTGCTCAGCCTATGGGGACTCCTGTGCTGACTGCTGCCTCTCCAGAGATCCCTATTGTGCCTGGGATGGGAAGGCCTGTGCTCGCTACACCCCGTCACCCATGAGGTAGGTGGAAGGGGGAGGGGACACAACTCTCTATGGGGACTTCCTGGCCTTCTCTTTGGGACGAGTATTGACTGAAAATCCAACACGTCCACGTGCCATCAAAGTCCAATCTGCCCGACCATTGTAAGGGTTCAAAATAAAAGTCTAGCTCATGATGGCGGCTCCACGTGGTCTGCACTTCCTGGGCGTGGCCAAGGCATGCAAAGAAAGGGATTACTTCCTGTTTCATCTTGGCCTCCCTGAGATGTTGTGACACTGCAGACCAGACATTCTCCACCAGGGTTCCTCCTCAGATTGGTCTTCCTTGAGCTGTGGCTGATTGACCTCCCATATGAAGGTGCCTGGATACTTCCAGAGCCAGAGGCGTGACACCAATGATCTTGTTACCTGTCCTTATGGGTCGTATTCTGGATTCTTCCAACTGGCCACCGATGTAGGGGAGATTCTTCCAACTGGTCATCAATGTAGGGGGGATTCTTCCAACTGGTCACCAATGTAGGGGGGATTCTTCCAACTGATCACCAATGTAGGGGGGATTCTTCCAACTGGTCACCAATGTAGGGGGGATTCTTCCAACTGGTCTCCAATGTAGGGGGGATTCTTCCAACTGGTCACCAATGTAGGGGGGATTCTTCCAACTGGTCACCAATGTAGGGGGGATTCTTCCAACTGGCCACCAATGTAGGGGGGATTCTTCCAACTGGTCACCAATGTAGGGGGGATTCTTCCAACTGGTCACCAATGTAGGGGGGATTCTTCCAACTGGTCACCAATGTAGGGGGGATTCTTCCAACTGGTCACCAATGTAGGGGGGATTCTTCCAACTGGTCACCAATGTAGGGGGGATTCTTCCAACTGGTCACCAATGTAGGGGGGATTCTTCCAACTGGCCACCAATGTAGGGGGGATTCTTCCAACTGGTCACCAATGTAGGGGGGATTCTTCCAACTGACCACCAATGTAGGGGGGATTCTTCCAACTGACCACCAATGTAGGGGGGATTCTTCCAACTGGTCACCAATGTAGGGGGGATTCTTCCAACTGGCCACCAATGTAGGGGGGATTCTTCCAACTGGTCACCAATGTAGGGGGGATTCTTCCAACTGACCACCAATGTAGGGGGGATTCTTCCAACTGGCCACCAATGTAGGGGGGATTCTTCCAACTGGCCACCAATGTAGGGGGGATTCTTCCAACTGGTCACCAATGTAGGGGGGATTCTTCCAACTGACCACCAATGTAGGGGGGATTCTTCCAACTGACCACCAATGTAGGGGGGATTCTTCCAACTGGCCACCAATGTAGGGGGGATTCTTCCAACTGGCCACCAATGTAGGGGGGATTCTTCCAACTGGTCACCAATGTAGGGGGGATTCTTCCAACTGACCACCAATGTAGGGGGGATTCTTCCAACTGACCACCAATGTAGGGGGGATTCTTCCAACTGGTCACCAATGTAGTGGGGATTCTTCCAACTGGCCACCAATGTAGGGGGGATTCTTCCAACTGGTCACCAATGTAGGGGGGATTCTTCCAACTGGTCACCAATGTAGGGGGGATTCTTCCAACTGGTCACCAATGTAGGGGGGATTCTTCCAACTGACCACCAATGTAGGGGGGATTCTTCCAACTGACCACCAATGTAGGGGGGATTCTTCCAACTGGCCACCAATGTAGGGGGGATTCTTCCAACTGGTCACCAATGTAGGGGGATTCTTCCAACTGGTCACCAATGTAGGGGGGATTCTTCCACCTGACCACCAATGTAGGGGGGATTCTTCCAACTGGTCATCAATGTAGGGGGGATTCTTCCAACTGACCACCAATGTAGGGGGGATTCTTCCAACTGACCACCAATGTAGGGGGGATTCTTCCAACTGGTCACCAATGTAGGGGGGATTCTTCCAACTGGTCACCAATGTAGGGGGGATTCTTCCAACTGACCACCAATGTAGGGGGGATTCTTCCAAGTGGCTACCAAGTGATATGAACAATATACTTCTCTCCTACTCCATCTCTTATTAATCCCGCCCCCATTGCGTCTTGTTTTATTAGGAGGAGTCGGCGCCAGGATGTGAGACATGGGGACCCAATGAGGCAGTGCAGAGGGTACAACATGCAAGGTGAGGACATGTGTGTCTTTCTCGGATTTGTTGCCGTGTTCTTCTACGTGGTGCATGGTCTACATTGAGAATTGTTCTGTGTTGGCAGTGGACAGAGGAGTCTCCGAGCGGCTACAGATAGGAGTGGAAGGTGGAAGCGTCTTTCTTCAGTGCGATACCCATTCTCCGCTCGAGAGCGTCACTTGGTTACTGCAGCGAGAGGGCTCCCAGCATCGGAAGGAGGTCAGACTGGTAATGCATGAACTCTGGGACAGGAAGTGTGGTGCTGGGACCAGGGACAAGGGGGGGGAGGTGGCTGGGAAAGGAGATGCTA